ACATAGCTACCCTGGGTGTCTATACCTGGCAAGGTGCCAACTACACCTTTATTTTCAAGGTGGCCTGAACTGAGTGTTTTAGGGCAGCAAACCCTGGTCTCAGGCCACCTTGACTTTAGCTTGAAAACCACAGCTTTGAAGCCTCATGCGCGCCATACCAGAGCTGTAGCTACTTGTAGCTACCCTGGGTCCGTATAAATAGTATGTTGCTATACCTCTTACACACCTATACAAGTTCAAAGCACGAATGAGACTTCAAGGCTGTGGATTGCTGTGCGTGTGTAGAGGTTCTCAAGCGGTTGACGGAAAGGGAACTTGAAGTACTATACCTGGTTGCTGCACTATAGCTACCCTAGGTCTCTCTACCTTGCAAGGTGCCAACTACACCTTTCCATTCAGATGATGCAAATGATGCATTTGGCATTTCTTGCATCACCACCCCTCAAAAATCACCTCCAACACAACCTCAAAAAACCTTCCCTCGGAGCACCCTCCTCCCCCAGCATGTGCTGAGTTGACGTATACCTTTCTCGGGCCACCCCCCCCAGACCCCCTAACTACTCACTTCGTTCGCCAGACACAACTCCGCTAGCGCCTTCTACGAAGGCTGGCTTTCGTAACTTATGTACAGCAATTCTACGGCTAAGAAGTAAACTCCTGAACCATATATATATATATACGAGTAAAAACAGGTGCCATTCTAATTTCTGTATGTCTATTCACATCTGAATCACTCTTATCATTGTTGTGATTCTGGGTATATTATTGGTTGTCAAGAAATAGCATCAGGAAAAATAATCCAGATTCCAGATATTTCAATGATGACACATATAGCAAAACTTGGGTGATCGCTGTGTTGCCCTGTTCTTTCTGACATCCTTTTTTCACAACCAACAACTGGGCCGTTTGTTGGAACAGCTTGAGGAAATCCTGAAAAGCAGCCTCTCAGCTCAAGCTGCTTACTCACCTCCCAGTCCAAACCAAGTCCACAGAGCGAGACTCCACTCACCTGGAGACTCCACTCACCGTCTTGTTTCAATTCTCGATAGAAAGCACCTGAAGAAACACAAGCTTTAGTAGAGATTTCGATCTCAAGGTCTTCAGTGTTTACCTTTGCAACTGAAAAACGTCTATAGTTGCAAGAACCCCTCCTTCACCTGCCTTAAACCCCCAACCATTGAACCGTTCTTAAGACAAGCAGACACACCCGCTCCGAGGCTCGTTTCATGGCCCTCATCACCACCAGCGGGGCCGCCCGCAGCTGGGGCGCCGCGTGTTGCAGCGCCAGGCCCTCCTGAATACGACCCTACCGACGCCGGTGCGGTCGGAGCCCAGCCCGGTCGAACCGTGGAATCGACCCAAAAGAACCGGATAGACTCCGGACCAAAGAAGGCAGAAAGGGATAGAAGGTCGTGTCCGGACCCCTTCGGAAGGGTCGTGTCCGGACCAAATGTCTGAGTCAAAGGATTCATGGCTTCGAAAAGTCTTGGAAAGGCGCAGGAAAATGCTTGGGTCTCGGATGCCAATCCAGCAATAGCCAGGTCCAAGGAGTCCATTGTGGCCCCAGTTGGTCGTCATAATCCACCAATAGCCAGGTCAAGTACTGGGATAAGCTCGCTGAAGTACGTGTGCAACATGAAAATGCAAACGCTTGCCTTCATCCTCCGTCTATTACTGCAAATATGATATAACTGATATAACAATATACCTACCCCTGTCAGTACTGGTTTTTCCTTAAAATCCAGAAAAAACGCTTTTGGGTCAACCGTCCAAAACAGATTCCCCCGCTCAAGACAATCCCAAAAACGACGGTTCTTCACTTCTGTGATCTTCGCTCACGTCCTGTTGGAAGGCCAGGTCCACCTGAGTGACGAAAAAGGGCCGCCAGCGGCTTTTCCAGCTGGGGAATCCAGTGAAGCTAAGAAGTTGTTTCAGATTTCCAAAGCCCAAGCGAAAGAATCCGAGGATTTTGGATAGGACTTTAACCCAAAATCTAGATCTGGATCCTATCCAAGATTTTGGAATCTGGATCGTGGATTTAGTTAAAGCTGTTTGGATAGGATCTGGAACTGACTTTAACCATCTTTAACCCAAAAACGAACGCCCAGGTAAAACCTGTCCACACGCAAATGTTGTGCTGTACGAACAGGTTCGGTTCAGCTTTGGAAAGGCTGGAAGCACTTGCAGGACTTGAAGCTGAGCAAGAACCTGCTACAACCTCGAGTGGAGAGTGCTCCCTTACACTTCAATCTCTCTCTCTCTCTCTCTTGCACACCGAAAACACTCAGCCACCGCCCACTGCCCACCGGCCTAGGCCCATCCCCGGCCCCAAATCAAGGCCCACCGGCCACCCTTGTCGCGCGGCGCTCACGCTGCGCCAAGGCGCCAGGTCTTCGTCTCCCTTGAGCCGGGCCGAGACGAACTCGAGGGCCCTCCAGGTCCTGAGGACGACGGGTCGGCATGAGGAACCACTGTGCTTCATGCGTGTGCACTGTCCGCTTCGGGTATGGTGCTGAAAGGCTGAGAAAAAAAGGAAGAGTCAAGTCGTCAGTGTCATCTTCACTTAGAATCCAGGCGTCATTGTTGCCATCATGGTTTTCCAGCGAAGCTGCCAATTTAACTTTCATCCAGATCAAAACCCCTGTGACATCAGAGAGATGATAAGAGCGACGCACCAAGGAGCACGCTTTTCCTTTGAGAAAGGACATCGGTGAGTGTTTATCAGAGAGAGCGCGAGGAGCATGATGACAAGCATCTGCACTTTGATACCCAGCCACCATCAACTATTCAACTATATCCAACGCACTGCCGAAGTCGGCAACAGAAGCCCTTCAGTAACGGTGTGGCCACTCTGTTCTGCTCAGCTTCTCTCGGAAAGGCGTTGGGTCCAATGTAAGCCACAGAATTTGGGAGGGTCACCTTCAGCAAAGACCTGCAATTTGCAAAGGCATTGCTTCCAATGTGGGTCACGGAGTCCGGGATGGTCAAGTTAGCCAAGGAGCTGCAACCCTCAAACGCACTGGACCCTATATGGGTCACTGAGTTTGGGATGGTCAAGCTTGCCAAAGACTGGCAATGCTTAAAGGCGCGATCCTCAATGTGGGTCACCGAATCTGGGATGGTCAAGCTCACCAAGGAGCTGCAATTTGCGAAGGCACCATCCCAAATGTAGGCCACTGACATCGGGATGGTCAAGTCCACCAAGGAGCTGCAATTCGCAAAGGCACTGGCCCCTATGTGGGTCACTGAGTTTGGAAGGGCCAAGTTCACCAAGGATGCGCAAGCCTGGAAAGCACAGTTCCGAATGTGTGTCACTGAGTCCGGGATGGTCAAGCTCACCAAGGATCTGCAATCCTGAAAGGCGACATTGCCAATCTCGGTCAAAGAGTTTGGGATGGTCAAGCTCGCCAAAGAGCTGCAACCCTGAAAAGCGCGATCCCCAATGTGGGTCACTGAGTCTGGGATGGTCAAGTTTGCCAGAGAGCTGCAACTGGCAAAGGCACAAAGGTCTATCCTGGTCACAGAGTTTGGGATGGCCAAGTTCACCAAGGATGTGCAACGCTCAAAGGCATAATTCCCAATGCGGGTCACTGAGTTTGGGATGGTCAATTTGGCCAACTGTTCGCAGTGTTGAAATGCTTTCTCAGAAATTTGAATTTCGCCGTCCGGGATTTCAACGGCAAGCAGAAGATTCAAGTCCATTTCACTGTCAAAGTTGGCGATCGCTCTTGTGTTGGAACATCTCACGAAGTTTGGCTTGAAAACAACACTCACTACAGTATCTGGAGCCAGCCCCGCATCTCCCACCAGTTCATCATTGTCCAGCAGCCGATCTCCAATAAGTATCTCTACCCCAGTAGTTCGGCGAGTCCCTTCATCGGAAAGCTGAACTTCCTTGACTTGCTGCTTCAGCTCTCGACCCGTCATCTCGGGCAGTACTTGAAGACAAATCATTTCGCCATTGACCTGCAGCGCTGAAACTCTCATTGCCATGGCTTCTTTACAAATACTCCACGCAGGAGTTCAGCTGATCTTATTGGCTATATGTAGTGTATACTTGTTTGGCTACGTTGCTTGCATTTCTAGAATGTGCTCTGATGGTCTGAGGCAGCCCACACACCTGACGTTGACCTGCGATCTGCACGCTTTTCATGTATCATTTATCTCAATGGGATCACTTTCAATCATCGACATGGAGCCCCGACACCGCGAAGGGATGGAAGACACGAGCGGCCGCCGCTCCAGCGCGCTCCGAACCACGAACGTCCCGTCCCGTGCCCGTGTCCCGCGACGGTGGTGGACTTCGGGGAAGCGAAGACAGGCTCAGTGATCGAAATGATACCAAAAAGCCTGTCTTCGCTTCCCCGAATGGTATCAAAAGCCATTTAATCTTCAGTTTTAAAAACAAAAAGAACTGATACCAAGCCAAGCCAAGCCAAGCCAAGTGCTGAACAAAGAAAGTGCGATTCGATCGCGAGATGCCAGAATGGAAAAGGGAAAAAAATTTGGAGAAGAACTGGGAAGGATGGAAAGCACATCCAGAAATTGATCATGTTCACCGTTGATATCTCAACTCCCCGGCTTTTTCGGGAATGGTCCTTCACATCTACCCTGGAGAAGGAAATTCATCAACAGTCAATATTGATCACATGGTTTGGTGGAGAGGATTGCAATTGAAGACCACTGGTCTTCCAGCCTTTAATTGAAACGATGTCTCAGAGGCTTGAATATAGTTGCGAGCAAACACGATCGAAGCAAAAAACAGCATAAGTATATAATGCAAAGAAGAACAAGTCGTCTTCAAATCCTGAATGTTTCAACTATGTAACTATCTCCGACTATGATCCTGAGAAAAAGACTCCACAGGAATGCACGTCGTCCAACTGCTCCTATCTCCCATCTAAACCGCCCCGTGGCACTGTCTGTTTCGTCTTCTTCTCCCATCTCAACCGACCCCGCAGCGTACGTTCCTCCAAGCGTCTGCGCCACCGCGGCGTAGGCCACGCTCTCATCGTCGCGCAGGTGCTCCGTCGCGTGCCGCAGCACTTGGCCGGCCTGGAACGAGGGTTGGCCCGGCCACGCTGCGGTGTCGAGGCGGAGCCGTTCGAACTTTCCGTGCGGACGTTTGGGGAGGTGGAAGGGAGAAAGGGTGGAAGGGATCGGAGCTTCTCGGAAGATTTGGGTGGATGATCTGATGCATCGATGAGCTTCTTCGATGGACACGCCTCATGTTCGGGGAGGATGGCCGCTTCATTTTGGGCCGGTGTGAAGCTGGCGGCATCTTTGGAGATGTTCGGGTTGTTAAACCAAGGGCATCTTGGAAATGACTCAATGATTGGAACAGGGTCACTGATTGTTAGTTGCTGCCAGCACTTTCATGGACAAGGGTGTGTGATAAAGGATAGGGGTGCCCATTGTCTACTCATTGGTTGCGAAAGCCACCCCTTTGTCAGCTGCTGCATGAAGCGTAAAAAACATAATGTCCTTGGTCTAACGAGCTTGCAAGAAGACTCAAAAACATCAACAAGTTCCCCGCGATCTTCCACGGGCGTTCTGCCACCTGCTTCACTGCCAGCAGCACGATGATCTTCTCTCCGCAGAGCCTCCCACCATGGTTCTTGGGACCAGGATCAGAGAGTTGATGCAAGTTAGGGGCAAGGAGTTTTCATCTGAATCTATACGGTGGTTATTTGACCCAACAAGTAACTACCCATCATCGTTTCTGGTTCCATCCTGCTTGAACACGACCTTCCTCGACGGAACGTTCTCGAAGGAGTCACAGTGGAACCAGGTCCCCACGAATGTTTTGGAGTTCTGCAGTACTTTTGCCCAAAAGACTCCGCTCCAGAAAAGCACCAAAGGGGTGTTCTTTTCAGCCTGGGTGCCACATTTACAGTAAACAAACTGACTTCAAGGCGCAAGTCACGAACGCCACCCAAATGCCAGACATGGAGAAGCACACACATGGGAGCGAACACATGTGATGAGAGCACACAGATGAGGGCACATGCATGAAAGTACACAATGAAAGCACGCATATGAGAGAAAACAGGGGCGCGCGTGTGTCAAGCACATGAAAACACCAGAGGAGACCACACAGGTGAGAACACACATAGTGTGAGAACACAAATAGTGTGAGAACACGCAGCAAGGCACTTAAACGAAGCTTTTTGGGCGAGACGTCTCCTTTTTGTTTAAACCTGCCAGGAAGTCCTACCAAAGACCAGGGCCAAGTCCAGAGGGCGTCTGCACGAAACCTGCACATCGCAGTAAAATGGTTCCGATCCCCTGGCCAAAACACGAGAATTCCTTTGCACTCGAAAAGTGACCACCAAGTCCCAAAATGAGCACGCGCCACAACGAGACTGTGCAGTCGAAATGCGCTTGGACGAAGGGCACGGATGCACTGTAAATAGCAGCGAATTGGCAGGACACAGATGTGAGCAACCTCGATCAAACCCAGCCTTAACCATTACTGTAAGAACCCTGGTGTGACCACACTGCCTGAGGAATTACAAATATATGTGCCGTGTGTATATATATATACATATATGTGTGTGTGTCTATATATGTGTGTGTCTATATACATCCAAGTCAAGGGTGTCTCAAAAATGTTTGGCCACCTCCCTGTGGGCTCACCTCAGTCAATCCTGTTTCCTCTCACATGTGGAGCTTGGTTGCCTCGGTGAGCACCTTGTTTTGGCCCATCCCGTGGCCTCGGGTCCCGCACGATGTCAGGATTACTCTTCACCAGGCGGCGCCTCAGCCCAACACCCGACAGGTGGGTGTAACGTAGACTCTTGAGGACCATACACCCCCCAATTTGGATTAAAAAGCCTCTTCATATGGGCGGAGATATTGCTCAAGAGTCTACATTAGAAGGGCAGAGCAGTCCATCCTTCCCTTTCCGAATGGAAGGACCATCGGTCAATCCAAGTACCACCCCATGATGACATCTCTAACATCTACTTATCTAAAGCAAAAGAACAAAGCAGTTCTTCCCAAAGTTCAACGACCCGTCCCCCGACCAAGCTACACATCTTCGATCTCCTCGAGGCTACTCAGCTGGTCTAAGTACACGGAGATGGCACGCCAGTCCTGCCAGAGCTTGAGTTGAGCGGGGGCCGGGGGCGGAGCTGGGCGGCTTGACAGATCGGATCTCATGGCGCCCACACAGCACGGACTGACGTGTCGAACCGAACCTGCTCCACCGCCTTCAAGATGGACGCCTCGTCGAGTTTCGCAGCATGCCTTGGCAAAGGCGCGGGAAAAGGTGAAATGCAACACCCCTGGAAGTCAAGTCGACCATGTTTTTTAAATGGTTGATCTGGTTTTGTAGTGTAAAACCCTTAGTAAAACAATGGTGGCTCGGTAAAGGCTGTTTGAAAATGGTGGTTCGACTTCTACGGACACTGCAAGCGATTTGGGGGGTTCACTAGGGATGAACCACAAACAAAGCGACGGTGGCTCATAGACCCACGCAAAGGTGGCCAAAAAGACCCATTGGATACTTCTTGCTGGGTGTTGTTTGGGTGTTCGTGGGATGAACACGTCAAAGCGAACCGTCTTGCTGGTACCACTCGTACCACTCCAACGAGATGTCCGGTGGAAAGAGTCCGGCTCCGCTGCTGACATCGCATCGGACCAAAAAGGGGGTGGAGATCAGGAGATCGTGTCTTTTCCGGGCCGTTCGTGGGAAGTTTGCCGGGAGTGTCGTAGTAGCCGAAGGAGTGTTCGTGCAACTCCAAGTCAAAGAAGTTCTAAAGATAACACTCTCTCCCTTTCTCCCTCTGACTCCCAAGTCACATATGTTAAGAAAACGCTCTCTCCCTCTCTCCCTCTCTCCCTCTCCGCTCTTCCCCTCTCCGCTCTTCCCTTTCTCTCCTACTCCCTCCCCCCTCCTCCTCATTGCTCCTTCTGCTTTGCACTCCCTCCTCCATCCCTCCCTCCCTTTTGCTCTCTTGCTCCTTTTCCTCATCTTTCTGCTCTTTAGGGTTTCTTCGGGGTGGGCTTCGGGTTTCACTTCTTTAGGGTTTCTTAGGCCTTGCTTGCTTGCTTGCTTGGTGAGAAGAGTGAGGAGAGAGAAGGCTGACTCGGGCAGAGTAGGGGACTCAGGCGCCGCCGAAATGCTCCAAGAACCGTAGATTCAGCATACACAATTCGGTCAATAGGTGATCCCAACCTTAACTTGAGTTGGGGTCGCTTGGATTGTCAAAGTTGCCCGTACAATTATGGCATCTCATTGAGGAAGCCTAGCTTTACTAGGACTAGCTGGTTCGACCGTTTTTGTTCCTCTAGCTTCATGCAGATATTACAATATTAGGGGCTTCTTACGGTAGGTCGACTTCTCATGAACTCAGCTAAGTTTGGTCGAGGAAACACCGTCGCATACCAAACAAAATGAATGCATCCACCAGCGCCTGACACCTATATATATATACATATGTATGATAAAATATATATGTTGTATATCTATCTATCTATCTATCTATCTATCTATCTATCTATCTAAATATATATATATATATTTATTGTTATTTATCTATATATTAACTTACATTTTATACTGCAGATGTCAGCTCATCCTTTCGTGACTTGGGCATTTTACGCCGCCCAAGTGACTGGGCCATTGCATGGACGGGTCCAGCTGACTCTCCCGTGAGCCCGTGTTCACCCAAGAAAGTGACATCCAACGACCTTAATGTCTCTTGATTCATAAACCCCCATATGAAGAGGACTTCCAACCCACATGAAGAGCACTTCCAATTCAAATGGAAGGGCTTAATACATCCAGAGTCTACATTAGGACAAGGAACACAAGCAAAGCAAGAAACGAAACCTTCCGCAACCCGCAGAAGTCGGCACATTCGCCCAGTGATGTTCGGCACATCATCCCAAATTCAACCTTCCGTGGCAGAGGTTGACCGAAAACCCTCCGATCGTCCGATCGTCCAATCTTCACAGAGCCAAGAAAGGAAGAACCGCCCGTCTCACCCTGCGCCAGGTGTCCCCCGCGGGCGAGCCACGCGCAATGAACACCACGCGCGGATCCCTCCCTCTCTCCGCGGGGTTTTTTTCACCCCATCCCTGGGCGCGCCCGGCGCCACGGCACGCCAGCTGTGCTTCACCGCCTCCTGGACAAAGCGACGCGACTCGGTCTCCGCAAGTCGGTGGACGGTCTCGGTCTCCGGTCGGCTGGCTGCGTGGTCGTGATCTCCGGTGACTGACGTCGGCGCCTCGTTTTCGTGATGGCTTGCAGCTTGACATCCTCTACACAAGACGGGGTTGTTTTATTGTTGTTTTTAGTATCCAAATAAGTGAGTGGATGTGACAGGGGCACCCCGACTTCCTCCAAGTTCGGCACCCCGCATGGACCTCTTGGAACTCTTTCTTTGACGGACATTGGGGCGCTTGGACTCTTGGACCAATCTCCTGACTTGACGTGGAGAATGTCTCCACACAAAACACGGCAGAACCTCTCTGTCCAGTCTCATGAGACCACCTACATGTGACCAGGCCGAGTCTAAGACGAATTGACTAGAGTCACAGTCTAACTCAGTTTGCACAAGTCTGATGTAAGGGGAGTTAAACGCTTTTGATCCATGATCGAAACAAATGTAATATATCGTTCAGTCAAGAAGCAAGCCTTTCTGCTTGCGTATCGTAAAGACCGACCCCTGTTTCATCAAGCCTCCAGAATGGATGTGCTGAGCGACCACATTCTATTTTGAAACACCGTGCCTATACCTTGACTGACCTTGGATTGCAGAAAGAAACCCAGCTTTTAAGAAGAAACCTCCTGCGATGCCAATAAAAAAAACTCTAAAGTAGTCTCATCTCGCTCTTCGTTTGCCTCACGTAGTCTCCCTCTCTTCCAAGTCTCTCTTCGTCTGAGTCTCGTCTCTCTCCTGGATGATCGAAGGTTCACTCCTCACCTGGCCCGGAGCACTTCGGTGTTGGGTCGCTGGAGGGGAGAGCCATCGTGGCTGTCAGGCTCCTGGCTGTCAGGATCCTCGCCTCTGTGTGAGGCTTTCCTACCTGGACCCATCCCAGGGAGCCTGGGTGTGCTGGCTACTGCCTGGCTATATCGGTTTTTCCGGGGGTGGCCCAGCCAGCCGCGCCCATTTTTGCAAGGTGGTGTCCCCTTCATTGTGTTGCCATGTTGCCAAGCATCAACACCAGCTTTCCGTGGGGCGCTTTCGCCCACCAACGACCCTCCACTCTCCCTCCGTTGGGCTGCGTTTGCTGTGACCAACTCCCAGCCGCCCCCGAAGGTTCCTTCGAATCTCACCGACGGACGGAGTCCCACCGACCCTCCATGGGTGCGCCTGCTTGAGGCGATCGAAACGAAACCTGCGATCGAACATGAATTGGTACACCTGCGATCCAACTGAACAGGATCGGGGATAGGCCCAAAAAGGGGTGCAAAATGTGTCTGCACCAAGTTATATTGTATCCCAAAAAGTTCACCCACTAAGTTTGCCCACAAGTTGTTTGCAAAGGAAGACCCAGACTGGACCAACCTTGCAAATGGCATCAACTGCAACGGCCTGCTGGATTTTTGGCCCGTTGGCCACCTCTTGGCTTGGTGATCGGAGAAATCCGGGGAATTTGGGTCAGTTCTTGGCTGACCACTGACCATGACCACCACGGATCGTGACACAACCCCCCCCTAGATTTTTGATGGAAAAGGACAAAGACTCGTAGCTCATCCCCAGACTCATCCACTCCGGAGATTCCAATGCTCTTTTGTTCTGCTCCATCCGCCCCACCCGCGTGAAGACGCGCACCCGCTCCCATCGGACCCCGAACGGCCGCGGCGCGTCGTTCGCACACGGACCCCCCCCCCCCGACGACGCGCGGGACGCGCCCGCGCGCCCGGTCGGTGCCATACTCGAGGACCTAGCGAGATGGATCGAGGCGTGGGGATCGATCCATGGTGGATCAAAACAAACGGAAGCATGTCATGTCAAGTCGTGGGCGTGAATGGATTCCATTGGAAAAAACACCGGGAAGAGGCATTGAACAACAACGGTGAACGGTTGAACAACAACGGTGAACGGTTAAGATGTTGTTCAGTTGGAGTGGTGTGTTTCAGTGTTTCTGAAACGATGGAACAAGTGGGAACAAAACAATGGCCAGGAAGCTTGCCCGTCTTTTTACTATCGAGTCTGTCTCATCTTTGAGGGATGGATAGGTATGCTATAGTCTACTATACACTGTACTCATTGAACCTGGATGGTTCGGTTCTCCGGTCAACCCACCAGAAATCCCCACCCCCTGGAGACCGTCACCCCCACAAGTCTCTTCGCGCAAAAAAACACACACCGGTCACCGGCAGACGACTCGCGCCATGCTCGGGCTTTTGATGGTCTTCCGACTCGCTACATCCGGATGAATCTGCCACTTGAATGGTGAACCATCAGAGATTCATGATCAATGTAGACTCATTGGTTTTAAAAAACGGATTGCAAACCTCTTCATACAGGGAGTTTGTGATGATACTGTTGATGCACCACTTCACGCACAGTTTTCTTGCTGCCCTCGTTCTCCCTCGTTAACATTGGGGCCACCACAGTGAGAAAATTAGAACAAGTTGAAGGTCCAAAATCCTGCACCACCTTTTCAGAGGGGTCGCACCAACATTGAATGAGGGGGCGCGGGGGTTGCTATGCGACCCTTCCAGGGTAAAGTGGTGAGGTGGTGCAGGAGTTCGTCCATCCTTGGCGCAATGATATTATCAAGAGTCTACCTTGGCGCAGGTCCCACCACCTCCATCCACCATTCGAAATCGCCCGAGCTCCGCATCTGCTCGGCGCCCGCACGTCCACATTTCGCTTCACCGCTTCAAGCATCACCTGCAGCGTCAGCCGGTCTTCAGCGGTCGCCACGGCTTCGGGTGCGACGGGTGGCACCGGTCGACCGGCACCTCCACGTTGTCGCAGAGGCTGCTGGGGCCCTCCTCATAGGCCAAGCGCCAGCCATGAGGGATCTCAGTCACCACCGCAAGCCAGAACTTGGGGTCCTGCACGCGGTGCAGGAAGAAACGCTGCGACGTGCACGCAGAACGGGTGATCCCAGCGACGACTACCCAAGACCAGAGGAACGTAGCGTTCAAAAAAGGAGTTTTGGGTTTCTAGGATCGGGTGTTCCCAAGGTGCAAACGACTACATCCACTGCAAACGACTACATCCATGTGTTCTCAAGTATGTAGCGAGTTTTGTGAATGTGGAAACTGAAGAGCCTAAGACGCGGGCCTTTTCGTAAAAGCACCCCTCTCCGAAACTGAATGAAGTGGCCCTTCACACTTCCCTCGGAGTAAGGACAAAGCCTTTGCAGACTCTGCATGGACTCTTTGACCATCCGCGAATTGGACGGGGCTTTTCTGTTTGTCTCCGGTCCGACCTTCGAAAGGCCAAAGACTTGACCCTGGCAAGAAAAAACAATGAAACACGGCGAATTCCCCGTAACATGCCGATCGCGGCACCCCGCCCACCGTCGCGGCACCCCACGCGTCGGCGGACATCGACGCCATCGGGAGGGCGAGTGGCGGGGTGGGGTGTTCGCGTCCTGGTAGAGCTCAGGCGTCAGCCACTTTAAGGCCACGTCCTGCCGCGAAGAACACGTGCGAAAAGGTGCCCCCAAAGAACCACACGGAACGAAAGAAGATGGACACGTTGTGGCTCAGAACAAGAAGTGCTCGAACTCGGAGCACGCTCCGATTTGGGCCAAAGGTCTCTTCACCCACACCCGTTGTGCGGAAGAGGTCACGGTCTCTCAAAGTTAACACCTAGTCATAGACCGTTTCTTTTTCAGAAAGTCCGAGTATCATATGGAACTACAGCGCTTGAAGCGCCATCCTTCATAAATCCTTATATTATATATATATGTATTCAAAACAAAGATCCGAACGAGGCTGGTCTGGTCTCCTGCAGCTTCACTGCCGACAACATGAAGTCCAAGTCGCTCCTGCCCGAAAGACAAGCCGAAAGACAGAACTGTATCTTAAGAACAATGTGCACCAGGAAAGTGAAGCAGTGTCGGGTTACAATAGTTCTCTAGGGAACGTGCAAACACAACAGGACATCCCACAGCTTCATCCGATTTCCCAACAAACCCACGTGGGCAACACCTGAGTTCCCTGCAGTGACTTACCACCAGGATTTCAAACGGCTGCAACAAATCAGCCGTGGACTTCAACCCCTTCGGTTCCTGTCGTGCAACGAACACTGGGGGTCTGGGTTTGATGGGTGAACACATCGTTTGATGGAGAAAGGCACCCTTGTCTACAGGGTCGGAAGCAGATGCTCCATAACCCGTGAGAAGGCGGAAACCATGTCCAAGAGGCTCTTAGAAGGAGGGTCTGACGAGGCTGGCGGTGGATGAGGTGCCCCGTTCGGCCGGATCCGGAGGAGGCCCCCGCCTCTTCAGGAGTTTTTCGTTCGGGGCCTCCATAGCCATCCACCAAAAACGTCTTTGGACTCAAATGATCAAGCAAAAGGGCAAGATTCCACTGAAGGCTCCAAGGGAGCCCCAATCTCGACCTGACCATCCAAAATCACCTAAGGACTCCTAAGGACTGAGGACCTCGCCATCGAGGTGGTTTAAACCACGCGTTCTGGACCGGTGTGATGGTTTTGGAATGGAGGGGAGGAGATCAAGACGAACAAGTTGAATTGCAAACGAACAACATAAACCTTCTACAATGACTGGTTTGTGACCTTTCTTCCCCTTGTATATAGGTCATAAACCATGATTTGTGAGCATGTTCCTTCTGGTGTTGTTTTTTGTACCACACAGTCTAAATATTCCATTTATATACTTGAGGATGGCCGCAGAAGGCCATAGAAATCCGTCGAAAGCCAGTTCGTCCCGTCGAGTCCGGTCGAGTCCGGTCGCTGGAGGAGGTTTTTGTATCAAAAGCTGACTCCTGAGGCTACAGGGCTTGCGCTTGAGGCCTCCCAAACCTCCACCGGAGGTTCTTTGACTCATTCAGCCATGACCAAGGTGGGACACTGAGTCTGGGATGGGAAAGTTCACCTGTCAGGATGTGCAAGTCCTCCACTTTGGAGCCTGTTTTTGCATCACGAACTTGGGGATGGTCACCCGGTGGCGGAATTTATTGAATGCGCGGCCTGTCTGGTAAACTGCGCAAAGCATTTCTGCACGTAGGCTGCTTGCCCCTGCTGGCTCAATACACACTCATCCTGTGGTAGGGTGGCCCCCTCTTATGTCCAACAGAATCCGCTATAGTCTAGCTGGTTAGGATACTCAGCTCTCACCCGAGCAACTCAGGTTCGAATCCTGGTGGCGGAATTTATTAAATGTGCGACCTGTCTGGTAAACTGAGCATTTCTGCACGTAGGCTGCTCCCCCACCCCCATCCCTGTCCTCCGCGTGGCGTCCGCGAAGTCCAACGCGGAGACGTCCCGGCGCACTGCCTGGCGATGATCGCCAGCACCAATGAGGTGTTGATCCGCTGCAGTACTGGGGAGATGTAGACCCATGTCTGACCATGTCTCCAGCACGAAAGATAGAGCGGGAACAAAAAAGAACCTGTCGAAAGCCTCCAAGCATCTGGCATCTGCCCACACATTACCTCCCCAAAGCCTCATCCAAACCAGCACCAAGCTACACGAAAGGCTCTGTACTCTCAAAGCACCAAAATAAATGTCTTGATCCCTCCTCCCAGATTTCAAGACATATCAAAACCTCTTTTGATCAACGACATGTTTCGATCTCTTCACTCTTCACCTCAGATGTTCAGTCCCAACGCACTGACAGGGCAAGCGTGGAGACGTCCGCCGATCCTCCAGGTAGAGGTCCCCCGCTTCGAGGAGATCGGAGGCTAAAAACCTCAGCTCCGAGGGTTGGGGGCCGCTGGGGCCCTGGAGACCCGGAGCTCTTACGCAAACATGGGACCGGACCACCTCGGACGGCCATGTGAATTGAGTGATCCCTTTTTTTCGTTCGAGCTGGTCGGTCATCAATGTTCATGGATGGATCGGTTTCTGCAAGACTGAAAAGTGATCTGGGGGCTACCAAAGCCCGGAAGGCCCAGAGATCGTGAAAGAAAAAGGCCAGAACGCCCACACCAGCAAAAGGTGTCTTCATCCATTTCCAAACCATCCAAGGTCTCGCTCTACCTTGCATCTGTCGGATGATGCTGATGCTTGAACCAAAAGCAACCGACTGTCAGGTGGGCGCATCATGTTGGTAGAGCCCCACAGCCCACATCAAGTCTCTTTTAGACAACTCTTATTACATAGGCCCAAATCCAACACAACTGCCCATTTTGGAAGTCAAACGGGATCCATGCAGAAAGAACAAAACGTTCTGTCACCATTTGCACTTTTGGCATCTTTTGACACTAAGGCTAACTTTCAAGGGTCAGAGCCTTCCACCAAGAATGGTTACTATCCATCCGCCGCTTGAGAAAGAACCTCAAGCCTTACCGGCCCTTCCGAAAATCTGGCACCTTTTGACTAGTGGCTAGTAGAAAGGTCGAGTGACTGACCGAGAGACACCAAAAACAGGCACGGAAACCTCACTTACGAGGACAAGAATCTCCAAATAAGATTGAGTTTCTATGACTATGAAATGACTTCACGAATGTTGAGATGCTTGAAAACGCAGACTCTTGAGATCCACCAAATGTCCAATTGCAGACACAGGAACTGGACGCACTGCGAACGACAGCGGATGGCCTTCAGCATGAAGTCACGGTCCGCCCACAGGGAGTCGTCTACGTGGATCAAGGCACGCCAATGCCTTAACGGATGAACCGATGAACCCTCTGGTAGGATCCAGGGCCATCAAGGGCTCATGATCGGCATGTGTTACTCCAGAAGGAATCTTTTTCGGATGAAGGAGTTGTGCATTCCAAGCAGCTGAAATACCTGAGTTTCTCCTTTCAACAAAACATAGTTCCATGGAGCACACCCCACGGACTTGGGGGAAGTTCGGGTTTCATCGTCATCCATGAAGCAGCCATGCCCTCCAGGGTGAGGGATGCCCTCCAGGGTGAGGGATGCCCTCCAGGGTGAGGGATCAAAAAAAAGATAACGTCGACGTGAACGAGAAAAGGTAATATGAAAAGGGCGGCGGCAGCAGCAGGGCGACAAAGGAAACCAGCAGTCCCCCCCCAGAGCAAACACACACACACACATATATTATATATATAAATTCCAAAAAGAAAAGCAAGAAAACTGTGTTTAATTTCATTGCATGTTCCTTTCACTTCCCGTCCAGCGGACCAAAGGACCAGGAGACCGAAGGACCAGAGCACCAGCGGACTGGGGACCACTGGATCCTGCTCTCATTTTTCGTTTTGATCCAGATGCCTGCTATCCACGTAGCCATCCATGAGGACCTTGTACAGTGACAAAGGGAGGGTAGTTGGAATCTCCGTTGACGGTCCACCTGACAAGTTTCCCTCTGGCCGGAAACGGCTCACGTCGTGAACTGCGAACTCTCCATCTTTTTCCCTGCAGAATGTTGTATGGTGAGTTTTTCATAGTTTTTCACCATGACACACGTGACAACTTTAAGCTGCCAGTCATGTTCTTCCAAATTTGCTGGATGCAACGCCATGCCCATCCTCAAAGACAACAAGACAACCCTTTTCCGGTCCAAAACGAGAAAACATCCACCTCCCCCCCCATGATGAACTGAACTGCCCAGTCCGCAGAACTGCCCAGGCACTGCTGAACTGCTTCGAGGCAAAGCTCTGCGTCTCGTCGCAACTCCACCGAGGCGTACTGCAGGGCGTTCCAATTCCTCGCGCTCGATGGAACCCCGGAGGCCCGAGCCTGCGGTTGGACCGGTCGAGTGTGGGAGAGGCTTCCACTCCATCTCTTGAAGCGGAGACCTCCCAGATGGTCCCAGATGGGCCCCCCAAGGAGGTTACAGCTGGAGACATCTTGATCACCCAAATCGGCACGGCGCTGTCCAAAACACGGAACCTCCCATCGAATCATTGGACCCTCCCAAGTTCTCCTTTCCCCTCATCCCCCCCACCCTTTCCGCATCGCGTTCGCCCGGTCATGCGGATCGCCCGGCGGATCACCTCCCGCTCGTTCCGCTGCAGGTCGGCCTGGGATCACGGCGGTTTGTAGGCGAAGTGGCAACAAAAATAACAAATGTTTCACCAAACGGGGGTGAAAGCCCAAACGAAGTGATGTCAACATGGTTTGTTTGGGTCGGTCTTTCGTCCGATGTCCATCAATCCATCGCTTGGACGACCATTTGAGGAGGTTGTAGTTAGTAAGTAGATGGATTCACCCAATGAGAAGTGAAATCAAAAAATGGGGTTGGTCTTCAGAACACATGCGTTCACTCTCGAACCTGTTTGAATCTCCAAGCAAACAGCACTCACTTGGAACTTTGGAGCCTTCGTACCTGTGCAGCTTTTCGAAGATTTCTGCAGCTTGATGGGGGTCGGTGTGCAGATTCAAGACATCGAAATCTCTCGGTGTGTGTGTGTGTGTGTGTCAGGGTCTCAAAAGACCAGACCCTTTTCGCGGTCACCACCGAGCCTTTTCCAAGATTTGGAGGTTCACCTCACAAGCCTCGAAGCCGCGGCGCGTTTCTCGGGGTCCAGGGGTTGCTCTGACCAGGGTGTGGCACTGGGCGCGAGCTGCGTCTAAGAGACCAAGAAAAAAGAACCAGACAGATTGGCCAAAAGCACAAACACAGATTGGCCAGGGTTGGTCACACATTGGCCAGGGTTGGTATTGTTTGTTCATTGCGAATCTTCGTTGATTTTCATTCTTTTTCCGGGGCTGGGTTGGGACAAGTCGTGTGTGTGTGTGTGTCCTGATCAGAAGCGTTTAGAATCCCAGAGAGGCGTTTCACTGTGAATGTGAATCCGCAGCTTTGAGAAGCGGCCCTTCCTGAACGTCTACGAGGACTAGACGTCTAATGAACGTCTACTAGGATTACTAGGTTTCTCATAGACGTCTATTAGACATCTTGGCTCAATTCTACAAAAGACCCACGACTCTCACCACGCGTTCACGCGGCACTCCGCACGCGCGGAGGCCTTCAGGATGAAGCCCGGATCCTGCCAGTGCCGTCTGGTTTTCATTTGTTTTCCCAGATTTCTGAGTAAAGAAACCATCAACATCCAATCAGCCTTCCAGTGTCACGCGTCAAGCACCACCCACGAGACTCCACTAGGCGACCTCTCCTTTTCCGCCCCACCGGACAGCCCTGTCCCCGCCTGCTGCAGCTGCGGTGACACGAACTCAAAGGCGTCCGCTTCGCTCCGCAGCGCGCAGAGGGCCACAGCCGGGTCGCCCTGCAACTCCTCGAGCACGTCTCTTAAAGATGACCAAAATAGCATACCCATGAAGAAACGCTACCCAAACGAAAGAGCATGGTCAAAATGCAGGCTTTTGAATGGAGAATGTCTCAAACAGTCGCATCCTGGGATGTGGTGTTCCAAGACTAGAGAAGCTCCCTGAGGAAGGTGCTGTTTCAAAAGTTGCTGATGATGCTACTTTGCAATTGTGTATTATCAGCATCACATCAGCACTAAATCCAAAATAATCCAAAGATGTATCTGCACTGGTGGAGAAACCCTATATATCTGCTATCTACATACATGAAGCTTGTCGTCCAATGCTCCAACACATCTTGTCTCCGAGAAGCAACCCAGAATCATAGGAACATGATTGCATGTGGATGCCAAGACTATCCTCTCTCTCTCTCTCAGTTGTATGCTCTCATTGTGCGCCCTCATACCATATGTCAATGTGTGTTCATGCATCTCTCAGGTGAGTAGGTGTTTTTTTCTGCTCTACTTTAAAGGAAAGACACGCTGAATATCTTGAGGGTTGCCATCCAAATGTTTGTTAGAAGTAATTACATACTTCAGAAAATTCTACCCACAAACTATATCCTTTGTTTTCATTCGTTTTCCCCTCAATGTTGCACCCCAGACTCACCGGGTCCTCTTCCGAATCTAAACATGTCATCCTTTTGCTCCGTCCATTTCCGCTCCCGTCCTCAGAGGCATAGCTCAGGCAATGCCCCGCCTGACCCACAGCCTTGAGCATCACCTCGCCGAACAACTCGGCAGAACGGACGGAGAATCCACCCGTGGACGGTCTCCCGCCGCGAAAGGACCACAACCGGGGCAACCAAACAGGGAATACGCTGCCTGTGAGGCTGCCGCATTCGTTCATGCTACAGGTGATAACGGCCTGCTACAGGTTCTGGGTGATCCAGTTCCGGAGAGGATGGACCTGTTGGACTGGGGAGGAAAGACCACTAAGCAGCAGTGCTATATAAGTGTCCTCGTTCTCACATCGACGATGGAATTCAAATAGAATATATAACTCAGAACTATATAGTCATATAGTTCAATATATTAAAAGTCATCATTTCTATGTGTTTCTATTGTCTAGGGTATCGGAAAAAAAGTATATTGAATACTGATACTGAAGAGACATCCTCACCTTCCTGTCTCGCATCTCTCCAAGCACGATCGGCGCCTCCTTCTCGGCCGTGAGCTCCTTGGGCGCAACCTCCAAGACCCGCCAATCCGCCTCGACCGCCGTGCGCCAGGCCGCCAAGTCCATCGCCAGCACCAGCGCGCCCCAGCACACGCACCGGGCTTGAAGAACAATGAGAATGGTTTTTGTGGTGGTGTGGAAAGTCTTTCTGGGGAAATCCCCAAAAAAATAGGAATCGTGCAGAACCTTCAATTCATGGATGATCGCAAAGGGTTGTTCTTCCAAGCCCGCTTGGTCCTTCTTTGTTTTGAGCACAGTCCGTTATTGGGAAAATATGTTGGCGCTGCACTTCAGCTCGAACAACCAGAATCGAATGACAAAGGAACAAACCGTATTGAGGGCAATTGAAATGCGGCTACTAGTTGTTTCAGTCAAATACAAGCGCCAACCGCTTCTATGCTCCTGAGACAAACAACACATTTTTGCAACCTTTACTGATAACCTAGGATTGTGAACGATGAATATTTCAGCATCTGAATGGCAAACGGCTCCTGGTTTCGAATTGGAGTGAACAACGCTTCATTGTTTGCACAGTGTGTGGTAGATTAAACGTGCAGCAAAGCTGAAAGCCTGCGCAATCATGCACCACAGGCTTGAGTTGCCAAAGGATGCGGATAAACAGAGAGATGCCTGTCACGGGAGACACTGGTGGTTTCGATGCTTTGCACTCCAAACATGTAGGCCTGAGCTATGATGACTACGATGTAGCCCAGCACTCAAACGCATGGTATTACAAGTTCAACTGTGACCCATCTTTTTCGGGAACGTGGTGAAACGCATTTTAGACTTTAAACTTTAAACATTCAAATCCGCCTTCAGGATATTACCTCGGCCAGGCATCGCAGGACCATGGATGGTAGATGGCCTACATGGCACGTAGATCAAAAAGAAAGATCAGGAGCAAGAAACGATAGAACAAGATCAAACAGAAGCAAAGAACAGGCTGAACAACTAGAACACATCCTGAATGTAAAACCTTTGCCAGCATCATCCAGAACCTTACCAAACCTTACCCAGCCACATCCTGCTCTGAGTTTTGGAGAATGATGCCTGCGTCTCATCCGGCACTCAGCCAAGCAAAGCAGTAGCAGAGCCCACACTCTCGTGTCTTCTTTCAGCGTATAAAAACATAACAAAAGGTTTCTGAGCAACCAGGTGGTACATCGTTAGAAACACCGCATGTTTTCTTTGCTGCTTGCCCAAATACGCTACCCTGTGCACTCCGCAGGCGGTTGGTCATCGGACCCCAAATTGCGACTTCACCTTCGCCACGTTTTTTGAGTACTTGGTCATTGATGGATGCGGATCCGCTATGAAAAACAGTTCGCAGCATCCCAAAGGAGCATGCTTTGGACATTGCCAGAGTTGGCCAAAGCCAGTGGCTTGGGGACAATACCGCGGGGTATTGGCCGTCGCCAGGAGTCCGAAAAGTGCAAGCTGTGGAGTAATTCTTCTGCTCCGTCGAAATGATAGGAGACCTGGAGCGGGAAGGGAATTCCCAAGGCCGTTGGTTTGCTCGAGGGGCATTGTGGCCATTTGCAGCAGGTGGTCGGCAGAGACCGTGGTACCGACCTCAGCCAGGCGAAGGATGGGGAGCCCTACGGTGCTTTTTTTTTCCACGAGTGCGGACGCCATGTGGGCGGTGTGCCCAGGTCATCATAGAAGGAAAGGAAACACAGCATGTTGATGGGTAAAATAACACAAGACAACCACCAAACAAACAGGGCAAAACACAGAAAACCCCAAAAGCCCAAACCAAAACCAAAACAGAAAACCAGGCCACCACCACGGGTTACCCATCAATGACAGTAGTGTTTCCTCTGTACGGGTGTGAGACAGGTGAAAAGAGAAAACGCAATGTATCTAAGGGCCTGAATTCGCTACGAAAAGGCAAAATGCATCTGGACGTGAGTGGTTGCTCGGGACGGCCAGTCAAATGTGGCCTCACTCTGTTGGCAAGGGTATAAGCATCCTTGCCTCTTTGGTGATTGGCACTCGGAGTATTTTGATATCCAACGTAGTGCCATGAGCAAAAAGTCAGCAGTGGCGATGACACATGCCAAAGAGTCATCAGTTGCAAGGCATGGCGAGCCGTGGAAAAATCCCTCTCCGTGGCACAATCCATACAACTGATTGCACAAACGAAAAGCAGAGGCTAGTCTCCAGTGCGGCGGTAGAAAGCGTTGCAACGAAACTGGCTGCAGACGAAGTGCTGATTTCCCTCCCGCAAGGGAGGCACAACACCCACCCCTTGGCACTCACGCATTCGCCGAAGGGGTGACATTTCCATCAGAAAAGGAGAGTTGAAGATACAATTCAACCACGTGCATGGCCCATGTGAAACGGGTGAGACAAAGACCTATCCTAGCATGGTACTTGTGCCATCTTTGTACAAGATTGGCTGTGGTTCGGCTCCCGCAGACGAGCAACTAAGGTTCTCCCTGGGTGCCTTCCATCAA